TTGATGGTTATAACTAATATGCATTGATTTATTCTCATCATGTTATTTTCCTGTTGTTGGCTCCCCCCACCCTGCGTTTGCTTATTTATTTATTTTGATACCAGGAAACAAACTTATGACCTCATGCATGCCAGACAGGCAGTTACGCTGCTGAGCTAAACCCCTGACCCTCTCGCCTCTGTTTAACTGCTTGCTTACCTAGTGAAATCATCCTGTTGGGATTCACAGAGTTGTAGTTCTTGTCATTTCTTTCTAGAAGGTCCTTCAGAACATTTTGGAGGGCTGGTTTGGTACTCATGAATATCTTAAGGTGCTCTTTGTCATGAAAGCACCTTTTTTCTCCTTCAATTTTGGAAGATAGTTTTGCAGGGTACATAAATCTGGGTTGAAGATTGTTTTCTTTTAAGGCTTGAAATACTTCACTCCAAGTTCTCCTTGATCGAGGGTTTGTGTTGAGAAGTCTTCTGTGACTCTGATGGGCTTCGTTTTTCTTTCTTTTCTTCTTTTTTTTTCTTTTTGAATATCTGATAAAGCACTTAAAAAACTTTTTAAATGAATGTTGAATACTAGATTAATGGAGACTGTTTTACTTTCTTTTTTTTCTTAAAGTTGTTTCTCTTTTGTCTTCTAGGTTTTTGGTTTTCAACAAGATGTTATTGTTGTTGAAAGGATATTGAAAGATTATTTTTAGTTCCTCTGTATGTGCAATATTTTTTTCCTCTGGCTGGATTTGAGATTTTTTTCTGTTTATCTGTAATTACAAGACAACTAGAATATGATGTGTCTTATAGTTTCTATATGTGCTTTTTTCTTTGGAGTTTCCTTGTGCTTCTTGGGCATGTGGGTAATAATTTTTATCTTATTTGAAATTTTTCAGCTGTCAATTTTTCAAACAATTGTCTTTATTCTTTATTTTCTCTTCCTTTTTAGGGACTTTAGTAATTTTTATATTACAGTGCTTATAATTACTCTGTTCAAGTTGGTTTCTTTATTTTTCTAATTCACAAATCCTGTACTTTTCTTTCTGTGTTTTAATTTTTTAATCCTAAAAGTATATTCTATATCCCTATTATTACATTTTTATCCCTAGCATATGAAATATAGTTATAATTGTATTTTAATATTCTTGCTACTGTTTCTCGTTCTGTCTTCTGAGACATTTCTTTTTTATTGTTGCTTGACTGATTTTTTTCTCTTCACAAGGATTGTGTTTTCTTGCCTTTTATGGTATCCTGGTAATTATTTTTTCACATCCAAAAGTTTATTTACTTGACAAAAATATAAACTGATATTATCAGTAATGGAGAGACAATCCTGGTCAAATTTTATTATAAACATTATACATGCAGAAGTAAAAATTTCAGTGTTTTAATTAATACACCTAAGATCTCCTGTGGGAAACTCCCATTTTCTGTCTTTTACCCTTTATGTGTATTTGAGTTTTTCATATAAGAGAAACCTTGTGACATTTATCTGTTGCCTCAAGGTGAATCTATTTTCCTTCAAATGATTCAAGTTTATCCTTCTTTATAGCAGAGTAATATTCCATTTGTATACCACACATTAATGTTTTAGTTCATTTGTTGATGTACATACAGGTTACTACTTTTAAGATTTTATTGTGAATTGTGCTACTATTAACATGAGTATATACATATCACTGTACTATGATGTCTTTAATTATTTCTGGATGATACCTAGAAGTAGAATAGCTAGGTAAAATGACATTTCTAGTTTTAAGTTTTTTTAGGAATCTGCATACTAAATTCCATAGCAGTTATACTAGTTTATATTTCCACCAATATTGTAGGAGGATTTCCTTTTCACTGTAGCCTCACCAGCATTTATCATTTGATTTCTTGATGATAAGCATTCTTACTGGAGTAAAATGAAATCAGAGTGTTGCTTCAATTTGCATTTTTCTAATGGCCAGAGATGTTGCAAATAATTGGTCAAGACAAGTGTGAATGGTAGCAAGATTCTATGTTTATTAAAGGTAGGAAAAGAGGCTTGATAGGGTGAGTTCGGGCCAAGTAAAAGTAGGAAAAGAAGTACACCCTGGGTGTGAGGTGTACAAGCCCGTTTCCCATCCTCCTCGCATTCTGGGGAGTGTGCATTTGTAATCCATGAGAAAGTTTTGGAATTTTCGTGAGTTAATTTCAATCTACCGCCTCACGTACAACCCATGGCAAGTCTAAAGTCACTAAGACATATTTATAGTTACGGGCAGCCAAGGGGTCTTGGGTCTGACCCAGATGAAAGTTCAGGGGACAAAGGCCTCATCCCAGGGCCTCACCTGGATTTTATTAACTCAGGAAGAACAGAGTGACTGCAAGGTGAGTGACTGTGAGAAAGGCAAGAATTATGTGGGTACTGTGAACTGGGCTGGCTAAGAGGCCAAAAGGCACCTCTGCAATATGCAGAGAGGAGGATGTGCAGAGACCAATCTGCATAACACAGCTGTGGTAACATTTAATGTTTAGGCAGCAGTATTTTAGCTTCAACGTGCAAAGCTTTTTTGCCCTGGAAAGTCATACCCTCTTATCTCGAGGCTCAGACCCAGTTGACAGCCCTAGAGCACTGACCCCAAATCCCATTGGCGAAACAGGTCCCACTGGGAAACAGTGACTGTAATCTGGCTTTAAAGATTATGCACCAGTACTTTAGCTAGCCCTATTTACATTGCTTAGAGCCAATTAGAGAAAAAAAAAAGTAGCTTCCAAGCTATCGGTACACGGAAATAGGGCCAGGTTTATCTAAAGTAGGGTAATCCCTGTATGAACCACCCTGGTGGTCCTCTGCAGTGAAGGTGGACTACCGTGAGAAAAAGGGCACAGTGGCAGAGAGCCAACGGCAACTGCTCTTTTTATATGTTCCACTCCTCAAGCTAATGGCAGATTCAGGCCATGCTATCCAAAACTTCACATGAAGAAGACATGAAGAACTGAAAAACAACAAACTCTTTAAATTTAAAGACCTAATCCAGAAGTGGGCTTCTGAAATAAACGCACACTTCTCATGTGAAGAAATACAAACAGCAAATACATATATGAAAACATGTTCAACATCACTTGTCATTTGAGAGATGCAAATTAAAACAGCACTGAGATTCCATCTCACCCAGAAAGAATTGCTATTACCAAGAAATCAAGCAATAACAAACGCTGGAGGGGCCGTGGGGAAAAAGAATCCCTTCTCCACTATTGGTGGGAGAGTAGACGGGTGCTACCACTGTGGAAGTCAGTGTGGATATTTCTAAAAAAACTAGGACTTGAGGTTCCATTTGACCAAGCTATTCTCCTTCTTGGCATCTTACCAAAGAATTAAAAGCATCGTGCCACAGTGATATATACACACCCTGTTCATAGCAGCAGTTTGTAATAGCTAAATCTTGGAAACAGCTCAAATGCCTTTCAACTGAGGAATGGATAAAAACGATGTGATTTTTTTTATACAATGGAGTTCTACTCAGTCATAAAGAAGGATAAATTTGATACATTTATTGCTAAATGGATACACCTTGAAACCATACTCTTCAGTGAAATATATCAGACAAACGTATACATATCACAATATCTCTGTGGTATGAGAAACTGAAAATATAAACAAATTGTAAGATAGACATTATGAAAAAGGAAGAAATTGTTCAAAAAGAAAGAGGGATGGGGAGGAAGAAAGGGAAAAAAGTGAGAAAAGAAAGATAAAATGGAAACAAAGCTTTATAACTAGGGAGGGGTAGATGAGTTGAAGAGAGAGGAGAGGAATGGGAGAAAAAAGAATCAAGATATATCATGTACAGGTACAAATTCTCTATGATGAATGTGATTATTATATAAATCTAAATTGTACCAATAAATTTAATAATCAAAAAGCAGAAAACAAAATGCACATGTGAAGTCCACGTGCAGGGCTTTGGTGGTTCTGCACATGTGTCCTGGGATTTTGTAATGAACAGGTCATGCCTGCTTCCCCAGCCAGCTTTGCCACACCCTAACCTGTCATTCTGGATTCCTGTCCCTGGATGGGTTCAGTCCCTCTTCTCAAGTGACTGCCAGGATGTACAACTCTTCCTGCAGGGACTTATGTCTCTTCCTGGTCACCAAAAGTGTCCCGGGCCATTTAGGTTCATATGCTAGATTCATTGGCTTGCCACTGGCCAAATCAAAGGAGGCTATATTTTTGGGTAAAATGGAAAAAGTGTTATTTAAAACCAGCCCTGAGGAGATGTAGGGCTCTATTTGCCTCAAATCAACATCCCTCCCTTTACAGCTGGCCAAGGGTCTTTCAAAAGTAAGCGATGGGGGAGGGGGACCCAAAGAGTTAATGCAAATCTCCACACTGAATTCCTCACTGTTAGCCATCTTCAGTCCACTGTCCCATTTCCTAGGAGAGGAAACTGGGATCCAGGCTTCCTGGTGTCACATCTGCACACTTCATTCCTTCATCTTGGGTGAGGAGAGGTGAGAAAGCTGTCTATACCCTGGCCTTACCAAGAAGCCATTTGTCTCTAAAGGTTAAAAAAGAAATAACAACTAACCTTTAAAATTCCATTTTGCAGTGCTGGTTACAAGATTGAAAATGAGGAGTCAGACACCTACATGTCTGAATCAGTTATTAGTTAAGGACTGTGTTTTTCATAGATCTCACTTGTATCTCCAGCATGCAAGTTATTTCAAGAGCATATTACAGATTTAAAAGAAAATTTTATATGGTATTGAATTTAATGTTTCTAGCATCTGTGAATTGGCTAGGATGGGAATAAAGTTCCAGTTCAGTGATAAGAAATCTAAATCTGGCATGGTACAATGACTGTAAGGAAAGAAACACTCAAAAAGTCAGTGGAAAGGTAAGATGGAGCTTTTCTTTATTTTTCACCCCAAATCCAGGTAAGTGGGTTTCATTATTTGTTTATCTTCAGTAGGATTTTCTGCAGAATGGTGAGGTGGGGGATATGTTAATTGGGGCTACAATAGATCTGATTGTTTTATTTGTCCTTCCAGCAAAGGGGTGAATCATGCCTAGGAAGGTCAGCAGAGTTGAGTCCTGGACAGAGGAGACAGGGCAGCACAATTCATGGACTTCACGCATCTTCAATTACAAATGCTATATCGTCTTCCTGACTGGCTGTTATAGTTGCCACTGGAAATTCAGACGATGGGAAAAAACTAAACTGGGATCCTGTTGCTGCACCTGGGTATGGTGAGATGGGAAGCAGCTGGTTCACCTTTCTCAGAAGTGGGGGGCACAGGCTGGCTGCCGGCCATCAGAAAAGGCTCACTAGAGTTGTCTAAGGGAACTCCTCAGGTTGCAGTTCTTCCATGCTGTTTCTGGAGCCAGAGTTAAACTTACTGAAACATGTACTTGCTGTGTTCTTTCCCTTTTCCTTCTAATATTATTAACATTAAGCTATTTTATGGTGCTGGTGATTGAACTCAGGACCTTAGTTATGCCAACAAAGCACTGTTACTACACCCCAATCCCCACTTCTATTCCTTACTTTTCCATTTCTATACTATCTCTTTTATGTCATTCATTCATTCATTATTCACTCACTCACTTTTACATTTACTCATTAAGTGAACCTTAAATAAAATGAGATTTTTTTGGCTAGGAATTATAGCAATGCCCAGCTCTTTAATTCTCTTTTCTCTGTGAGTTCCAAGTAAAAATTTGTTTATCAGAAAAAAACAGCAAGGGGGAAACAAGACACTCCTTTATTATTAGTCAAGCTAGTGCCTGATTATTCCTAATGAAGTGCTCTAGTAAGGCCACATGGTGCCATGTGTGCTGGCCTCACGGAAGGCCTCCTCTTAGCCATGACCTGGGACTCTCTGGTGGCCACTCTGGTATAACATGTCAACTGATGAATACACTGGGGGTCCAAGATATTGAACCTTTGCTTAATGGTGAACATGGTCCCACTAAGGTCCAAGAATTAACTAACTGGATGTCTAATTTCTTATCCCTGGCATGGGGAGCACAAGGAAAGAGGTCAGAAATGGGAGGTGTTATGGTTTGTATATAGATGCCCTCCCGAAACCTCAAGTGGTCATAGGTGCGGCTTTTTGGAGGTGGCTGGGTCTAGAGTATATGATACTGGGATCTGGGATGTGATGCTGAGATTGATGCGTAGTGTGATGTGGGATTATCGGTGCCCCATCCTGGGTGTGAGTGCTGCTTGCTGGGTAGCCTGGATGGAATATAAGGGACAGAGAGAGGGCTGCTGGCTGCTTCTTTGCTACGTTGCTGCTTTGCCGCCCACCTGCTTTCTACCTGCCATGAACCGTTTCTCCTGTGCGATGCCCCTGTTATACCTCCTGGCCCTGGAGCCAGCCAATTATGGATTGAAGCTCCATGAACTGTGCGCCAAAATAAACCTTTCCTCCTTGAACTTTGGGTGTTGCATATTTTGTCTCAGCAATAAGAAAAGTAACAAAAACAAGAGGCTCCCCTAGAGTACACAGCTACGTTCTTCTTTCCCCTGTCCTTTCATGTCCACACTAGACATGGGGGATGACAGAGGTGGCTCAGGCATGGTTCTTACCTTCATGGAATTTGCATGCTATTGGGAGTTTCAAGTACACACAATCTTAACCTAGTGAGAAAAGTGCTTTAATTGTATGTACACGAACATAGGGATTCATCAAGGAAGGAGCCAAAGATAACTTTATTTAGAAGATGAAGGTGATAAAAATTTGATAGGTAGATAATTGTAGACGGTAGAAGAAATGGTATTGGGGGAGGAGTCAAAGGGCACGGTGAGTTTGGAGAGTGGTAGTTATTTTAGGTGAAGCAGAAGTGCCTGGTGAAGTGATAGGAATTGAAGCTAGAGATGGAGGTGAGTCAAATGCTACGTGGTTTTTAGGAACTGACTTCTGCCATACAGAAAATAGAGCATATGTGAAGAGGGTTCCCCAGCACCAGAGAGGGGAAAGTACTTAAAGATTTTAACCTGGTGATGTGGTCTGAGATATGTTTTCCAATTACTATTCGATTGTATGGAGGATGTGTTAGAACATACCGCACTAATGCAGAGAGGGCTCTGCCTCTTTATGTGCAAAGATAAAGCAATGGCAGTATTCCAAGTAAGAGATGCTGGTGCCCTAGATTGGACAAGTGATGATAAATACGGGAAAAAATAGATTCAATAGATCTTCATTACTTAGGGCTGAGGTAGAAAGTCACATGAGAGCTATTAAGAAGGATATAGAGGGAAAAGTAAAGGGAGAGACTCCAGAGGAAAAATGGCATTTAAAATAGTGCATCATAGTCCAGGAATATATATGGATCCTAATTATGACTGTGCTTGGGTTGGTTATGTGGTGTCTCTAAGCCTCTCTCTATCGTGAGGGAATTGAACTAGATACCTCTTAAAGTCTCTAGATAATTTTCAAGTCTCCGTTTTGGTCAGGGGAAGGAGTATAGCATATTGCATAAGCACTAATAAGATATTGTGCCTAGGGGAAGATTACACAGATTCAATTTATTATTACTGACTGTCTCAAAATTAGAAATCCACCACTATGAGAGCTTGGGCAAGTTATCTAACACCAACAGAGTCCTCGTTAAAATAACTAAGATGATAACAATAGGATCAGCTGGGGTTGTTAAGAGAATAGAAGAGGTAATTTGTGGAAAAAACTTGACTTCTGCTTGGCACACAATTAGCACTCAGTATATGTTATTACTGTACTGTTCTTAGAGTCACTGCCTTGTGGAAGTGACATAGAAAAGATGGTACAGGGGACTCTTGGAGAAGCAATAAGACGGGCAAAAGTCCAGAGATAGAAAAGCACAAGGATGTTTAGGGAGAAATGAATTTTCAGTGTAGATGTTAGGTACACGTAAGGGAATAAGTAATAAGAAGTAGGTTTGCAAAGGAATGTTTTGATCAAATTATGAAGCATCTTTTTGCCAAAATAATACTTTATCCTATAAACAGTGGGGAACTTCTGAGTATTTTCCAGCCAGAGTGGTGACCAAAATAGATTTATCCAACAACAAAAAATGTATTAAGCACTTAATATATACTATTATAACTGAGACACCATAGAGCCCTGGACCTTGTGGAATGACTTAGATAATAAACAGTAAGAGAAGAGAAATGCTTTCAGACAGTAACGACAGCTTTTAAGACAATAAAACAGGAAACTGTATTAGAAACTTGGATAGGAAGAGAAAACCTCTTAAAACATGTCCTTTGATTTATCTCCTAAATGAAGAGACAGAGCCAGCCTTATGTGTATCAAGAGGAAAAGCATTTAAGGCAGAAGAGCTAATAAATACAAAGCTCCTGAGGTGGGAACAAATTTGGTTGCGTGTTAGAAACAGAAAGGGGCCAGGGTGGCTGGAGCCCTGAAATAGAGTCAGAGTGTAAATACAATAGGGTGAGGTGAGAGATTAAATGGCTGACGTGGAGGAGTGTGGGCCAAGCAGGGTGACATTCTAACACAGCAGAAAGCTCGGGGAGGGTTTCAAGCAGGGAGTGACATTATCTGATGTGTGTTACTAAAATTCCACCCAAGTTTCCTGTAGAGAAAATGTGGAAGACCTCAGGAGTCTGCTTTTCACTCTCCTACACTCAGAGGATGGTAGTTTGCCGCCCAGATATGCATAAGGTCTCTTTCACCTTTTTGGAACGCCCTTTCTGTGTTTTTCACTTTATTTTCTTTTTATTATTATGTCTCAAAATAACGTCAGAATTTAGATGGGACAGGGAATATTCTTTCTGTTTTCAGCATATTAACATGGTATACAGTGAAGAAGTTTGTTATTCATGTGATCAGTCTTTTATGATTGTGAATCAGAGAGCAACCCAAACGTTATCTTTTTTTACTTTATAAAGGAAAAAAAAATACTCCAAAATTTCAAAACAAGTTAATAGGAAGGTAACAATGATTAATACATTGTGTATTGTTATCTTTAAATTTGTTACTCAGAATACAAGATATAGGCATTTAATTGTCCAAATAATATTAGCACAAGCTTTTCTTTTCAATGAACTGAGAAAAAATTGGTAGTATAACATATATATATATATATATATATATATATGCTTTTCCCTTTCCTCTTTCCCCCATTCCAGTTTCTCGTTTCTTTTGAACAGTTTTTTCCCATTTTACAATATCTATTGTATATTTTGGATCTTATTTATTCTTTGAGCTTCTCATACTAGGGAGACAATATGATGTTTGTACATGAGCATCTGGTTTATTTTACTTATGGATATGGTATCAAGCTGCATCCATTTGTGTATAAAAGTCTCAAGTCTTCTGTATAAACCATCGTATAAAAAGACCATGTCTTTTTTTTTTTTAATCTATTCCTCAGTTGATGGGCATTTGAGTTGTTTCTAAAAGTTAGCTATTACAAATAGTGCTGCTATGAACATGGATGAACATATATTGCTGTGGTATAATGTTTTTAATTCTTCTGGGAAGAGACCCAGAAGAGGAATAGCTGGGTCAAATGGGACCTGGAGTCCTAGATTTTTAAGAATCTCCACACTGATTTTCATAGTGGTGCACCAGTCTACACTCCCATCAACAGTGGAGAGAGGTTTCTTTTTCCCTACAGCCATTTGTTATTTTTTGATTTCTTGATAGTTGCCATTCTTTCTGGGGTGAGATGGAATCTCAGTGTTGTTTTAATTTGCATCTCTCAAATGACCAGTGTTGCTGATATTCGTATATTTATTTGCGATTTGTACTTCTTCATCTGAAAAGGTGTGTATGCGTCTCAGATGCCCACTTTTGGATTGGGTTTTTAAATTTGGGAGGTCTGATTTTTTTGAGTTCTTTATATGTTCTTGATAGTAATCCTTTGAGGAACAGCTGGCAAACATTTTTTCCTACCTTGTGGGTTTTCCCCTCACACTGTTGGTGGTTTCCTTTGCTGCGCAAAAGCTTTTTAATAAGATGAGATCCCAGTTGTTGATTCTTTGTGATACTACTTGTGTGATCAGTGTTTTAGTCATAAAGTTTTTGCCTATACCAATGTCTTCAAGAGTTTTACCTAAGCTATCTTCCAGCAGATTGAATGTTTCTGCTTTGATATTAATATCTTTGATTCATTCTGAATTTAGCTTAGTGTATGGTGAAAAGTATGGGTCCAGTTTTAATCACTGGCACATGAGTAGTCAGCTTTTCCAGCACTATTTTTAAGAAGGCTGTCTTTTCTCCCAGTGAATGTGTTATGCATGTTTGTCTTAGTGTGTCTGGAGTTGTTTCTGCATCTTATGATCTGTTCCATTGATCTCTGAGTCTGTTTTTCTATTTTTTTTCCAGCATCATGCTGGGTTTTTTTCACAGTACTTTACCTTTATAGTCTAATTTCAAGTCAGAGATTGTGCTTTCCCATGCTTTGCCTTTGTTACCAGAATCACCTTTGCTACTCTAAGTCTCTTCTGATTCCAAATGAATTTTAGGATTTTTCTCTAATTCTGTGAGATATGCTCTTGGAATTGCATTAAAGCTGTATAACAGTTTGGGAAGTATGGCCATTTTTACTATGTCGGTGTTTCCTATCAAGAGCAAGAGATAACTTTCCATTTTCTGATATCTTCGTCCATCTCCTTTTTCAGAGTACTGTAATTTTCAAGATATATCTTTTATATTCTTTGTTAGAGTGATTCCTAGGTATTTCACTTTTTTAGATGCTATTGTGAACAGTGTTGTTTCCCTTATTTCCCTCTCACTGAGTTTGTGTACAGGAAGGCTATTGATTTTTGAGTGTTGACTTTCTATCCATCTATCCATCTATGGAATTTGCTTATTAAATCTGGCAGTTTTTTAGTGGAGTTTTTGGGTCTTCTATGTAGAGTATCATGCCACCTGTAAATAATGATAATTTAATTTCTTCCTTTCCTATTGTTATTCCTTTTATTTCTTCCTCTTGTCTAATTGCTCTGGTTAAAGTGTCCAGGACTACGTTGAATAAGAGTGGAGAGCTAAATCTAATCTTCTTAGGAAGTATTTGGCAACATGTGTCATGGCTGATTTGTGATGATTTTCAGTATTGAAAGTTAACCTCAAGGCTCAGTTTGAAGACCTTTTCTATAAAAAAGTCCTTTATGATGGCTATGAGCTAAGATAGCTCTGGCCCTGTCACTTCTTGGCTTTGCGATCTTGAATCAAAAACTTTACCTTTAAGAGTTTTCTTAGGAAAAATGTTACCAATACCTAATTCTGCCCTTATAATGAGAAGTAAATTATGCAAAGCAACTTGTGAATTCTGTACCATTGTGTTATTATTAAATAGCTTCTCCAAAAATGTTTTTCTTAACTCTGATTCCTCCACGTTTCCCCAGTAGGTACATGGGTGACTAAATGAAATGATGAATGATAAATGAATGAGTTACCTAAGGAATGGATCATGAAAAAACATTTGGTGGAGAGAAAAGTGGAGGAACTCAACAGATGATTGTTGAGTGCCAACTACATCTAAGAAACTATAGTAGGACCAGACACGGTGGTTCGTGTCTGGGCCCAGCTACTCAGTAGGCTGAGGTAGCAGGATTACATGTTTGAGGCAGCCTGGGAAATTTAGTGATATCTTTCTCAAAATAGTACTCTAACAAAGGGCTGAGGATATGTACTGTTCAGTGGTAGTGTTTGCCTAACATTCTCTGGGGTTAAGCCCCAGTACTACAAAAAGAAGGAAGAAAAAACCAACAAAACAAAAACAGTGCTAGGTACTGGCTATTGTAAGATGTTGAAAAAGGTTCTTTTACTTATTGAAGAAACAGTGTAGCATCGGATGCAAACATAAACACATAATTACAGGTCAGTATAATAAATGTTGTACAGGTTAAAAATAGGCATGTACAGGATTCAGTAGGGGTAAAAACAAGAGAGTGATTACTTATGGCCCTGCAAGTATACTGACTGGAAATATATGCAGAAATTATTGAGGTAATATGGATAAAGGGAGCTAAGTTAGACAAATTCTTTCTTTTCCCAGAGAGAACAAGTCTTTTGCACGTTCCTGGTAATTGCATTTATCATGTCTGTGGTCATGCTCTTCACCTGGATAGAAACCTCCAATGAGTACTTTGGCTTTAACTGGTGAGTTTCACTTTTTATACTTTATTGTGTAAGGGCTCTGGTCTGATGAACACCTGGGTTTGCCTTAAGTTGAATGGACCTGTGACACAGTAGGGAGGGTGGACAAAACTGAACTTTCTACAGCCCGTGGGTGAGAGACCAGGCTCTGGGGCAGGAGGAGGATGCTTCGCACTGTAATCTTCCCCCCCTCCCCATGTGGCTCTCTGCTTCCAGCATTCCCAGGCCTTCTCAGATAATGCTTTCCTGTCATCCAACAGGAACTCAGTCTCTGTCTGGGTTAGTGATGCCACAACACTTGGTCATCGTGATCTTTGTCCCTGAACCTTATTTCTCTGCTTCTCCTACAGCCTTTCTCCTTCTGTCCTTAGCGTCCTCCTCCAACTCTGAACAAGGAACAGGTGTCGCTTTCATGGCTAACTTCCCACTCCTGGCCTACTCTCAGACTTTCCAGTTTTTCTGGCCTGGTGTTTTCTCACTTTGTTGCAAACTTTATCTATTATTTGGGGAAGGCTCTGTTTGAATACGAGGGGCCCCCCCAATAGAATATAGTTTGTTTCCTTTTATAGAACTAAAATATAGTTTGTTATTTTAAATGTTAAAAAATGCAAAAATTTGAAAATACTTGGTTAGCCACATTCTTCAATGACAATCACTTGGTATATATTTTATAGCCATCTACCTTTATTTTTATATTATTATGTTTGATCTGTTTATATACTTTTGCTTTCATTTTTCACTCAGAAATGAAATGAATTTAACAAATCATTGAAACTCTTGATGAATATTATTTAAAGTGGTTTCAGAAGCTGAGTGTGGTGGCGCATGCCTGTAATCCCAGGACTTGGGGGCCTGAGGCAGGAGGATCACTATGAGTTCAAGGCCAGCCTGGACTACTTAGTGAGTGTTCAAAGCCAATCTGAACTACATAGCAAGACCCTGTCTCAAAAAAAAAAATCAAAAGTTGTTCCAGAGTATTTCATGACATGAAGATACTGTAACACACTTAGTTTTTTTATTGTTATGCATTCAGTGTTTCTAGTATCCTTATTTTTGATAAAATAATAGTACAGAGAAATCTATATATCCTGACTAATGTTCTAAGAATAGAGTGCTACAAATAGCATTATTGAGTTAAGAAAAACAAACATTGTTAAAAATTCATTATAGCTTTAGCCAAAATAGATTATAGTAGTTTCTACTTACAACAGAGATATAAAAGTGTCTTTCTTTTAATCTGACAATGGCATCACTAAATATTCTAATTTTTATTGCCTTTGATGAATTTTATTACTACTGTGGAGAAAGGTCAACTGTGTGTATAAATAAGTAAAATCATTATTTTGGAACTAATAAAAATCCTTAACCTTATTTTACATAAAGTGCTACCGAAGTTATTTCTACTGTAACTTGACTGAAAAATTGATCTATGAGCTTTTTCTATGATGAATTTGTGCCAACTTTCCATCTAGTATATCATAAGCAAAACTTAAAAATTAACAGGATGTTGAAAGATAGAATTTTAAAGTTCAAAATTTCATTATATAACACGTCTATCCAAATTTATTTTACAAGTGTTGGCAGTAACTAATAAGCAGTGGAGGCCAATGAAATATTTCTTGTCTGAATTAAATATATATAATTGCATAACACAGCACAGACCAAGCATTTTTTATTGTCATTTTTTATCTCTTTTTCTTCACTTTTTACATATTAGGGGAAACGTGATATTTGTTTTTTCTGAGTCTGGTTTGTTTTGCTGAATATAACGGTCTACAGATCCGTCTGTTTTCCTGCAAACGACAGTTTCTTTCTTCTGTATAAGGAGTTCTACCATGGTCGCTGTGCTGTCTCTTGTTGTCATCAATAGAATTTGCTATATCGTCAGATAAAGTATAATTGAATACATCAGTACACAACAGTATTAATAGAAATACAACTTTGTAGATAGTGTAGAACTACAAAAACAGGTAGTAATCAAATCAGAATGTGTATTGTAGTGAATCATTGTCATTTTCAGAATAGTCACCTATACTCTCTGACTTGATACTATCAACCTAACAGTTTTGAATAAAATCTGTCAATAACAAGCAGCAATCAAACAAATCAGATTTAACTAAGATCAGTCATGATACAACAGTATAAGTTATACAGTGATCCAGATTAAGTTAATAGGAAATTAAAGATGATTACTGTGCTATATCATGATAACTTTGGGATAGCTGTCTGTGCCCTCAAATCTAGTGTTTGTATACAAACTGGAATGTAATAAATTCTAAGCAGAGTGGTACGAGTAATATGGGTTTTAATTCCTGATACACTATTAGCAATATCTTCTGCTATCTTTTTTAAGACTATTCCTCCCCTTTCACTTCCCCAGGGTGTGCTGAGTATTTTTGGGTCTCCCCAACACCCTCGGTTTTATATTGGGAGGGCAACCTGCTATTTACCTAAGTGTTCTGAACTTTTTCACTCCTGGATTTGATCTCTAGTTGTATTTCTTTGCTTTTTGAAGCCGGTCTTTCCATCCTATCCATAAATACTGGTCCAGTTGCCCCTATTACTCTCTGGTTCCCTATCACATAGAGTTCTGTTTTCTCATATTTGATTTTGGTCCATATACCCTTCTTCAAGTTAATTATATTTCCTATAAAGAGCCTCTCGGTGGACCCCACCTCTTGATCCACTCTGCCTGCGATTCTCTCTTTTTTCCCTTAAGTTAGTGTATCTAGGCCATCTATATTAAAAATTATATCCAACCTTCTCTGCCTCACTTCTGTTGTGTTCAAGCAGTTTTGCCAGCTTTCAATGGAGTATTTTATTTCCTGGTAATCTCTTTGAACCTGCTTCATGTATTCTGTGTTTTCTTTATTTTCTTTATCAAACAATTCTTCCCTTTTTTTGTGTTCTTCCCTTTTTCCATCTGTTTTTTCTTGAGATGTGCTTAGCATTTCTTTATTCTGTTTATATCTTGCTTTACTTGGTTAAATACTTCACTTTTGAGCTCATCTATGAGGTCCCGAAGATATCACTGAAGGCTTCACTTCGTTAGGGTGCACTGCCAGGCGTAGGGACTTAGTTTGGGCTAGCCTATTGGGCCTCAGTCCATGGCATCACCCAGGTCCAGCGCTCCCCACCAAGGCCGCTTGAGAAGGGAGCAGCTAGCTGAAGTCATTGCAGCTCCTTGTTCTGGCCAGTTTTCCCCGTCCCAGAATGTCGTCTGTTGGAGCCTCTTTGTCCATTGGAAGGGTTTCCATTCCTGTCACTCACTGCAGGTTGATGCAGGGTTGCCTGCCAGCTCGGCTTTCAGTTCAGTTTGCCAATTCCCATCCTTAGCGCAAATGCATCTCCAGTGAGTTGAAACAGCAGCGGCGGGCTTTCGGTAGCTTGATAAGTTTCCACTGTGTGGGTTCAAGTGCAGCAGCAGCAGGGAGTTCAAGCAGCGAGTTCAAGCGGCAGTACCAAAACTGTAGCTGTTCCAATAGTAGCACCAGAACTGTATTTTTAATTGGTTTCTCTCTGCTTAGTTTGTTCCGGTCGGGAAGGCCTATCTCCCTCTGTTCAGAACTCCCCATGCTATATTATTTTTGGAATCTAAGTTGACTATCTCTGGGAGCCTTTGTAGCCTGCTGTTATCTATCTGCCATCTTTTTCGAGTTTGACCCAAAGGCTCTTAACGAAGGAAAACTTTGGAGAAGGATCCAGATACATGGCCTAAAGTGTTTGCCTTCAAGCTTCCACTTAGTTTTCTCCCCAAGGATCCTCTGGCCAACTAGAAGTTTGGCTACATATTGAGGAAGAATTTAGAAATTGCTGGACACTTGGCTCTGAACTGATATACGATTCCTGGAGACTTAAAAACACCACTGTGACTCATCAGGCAGACTAGGTACTTTTGGATGTCAGGTGATCAGTGGAGTCTTGGCTTGGGCCTGTCTTCACAGTGAGCCTCATGAGTGCCCAAATCCATCTCATCATTCTCTATTTCTGAAATGCATAGTTTTATAAACATGCATACTCAGTAGCAGGCAGAAGCTCCATAGCAGCATTCTGTCTTCAAATAGAGGTTGTGTATATAAAAGTGAGATACAGCAGGTCCTAAAGCAACAAACAAGTTACACAGATAATTTTCCATTGTTGCCTTAGCCTTAGACAATGCCCATATATTATTTTACAGTTCTGTAAGTCAGAAGTGAGGCATACTCAGTGGGGTACTCCACTTAGGATCGCCTAACGCTGAAATTAAAGCACCAACTGGCCTGAGCTTCTCTCTGAAGTTCTGAGTGACAACTCATCCAGATTTATTCAGGTTATTGTCAGAATCCAGTTTTTTGTAGTTGTAGGACTCAAGTCTCTGTTTCTGTCAGGTGGGAAATTTTTTCATTTTCTAGGGCCAGTGAATTTCTTAGTTTGAGACTAGAAGTTATATGTGAAGTTCTTTTCATACTTCAGATTTCTTTCATTTTCCTTCTATCACTACTCACCTTCCTCTTCTGAGTTTTAAGAGCTCATTTGACTACATTGTGCTCACTCACTCTTATAGTTAGGGGTTGTGCAGAGAACAATTAGAATCAGGACATAGATTTTATAATATTATTTTTATAATGGTCACCAGGAGTTAACACAAGAAAATGCAGAAAATCTATCCACAACACCAAAAACATAATTAGTCAAGGGCCTAAAAACCACAGCAATGTCTCACATGAGTCCAGATAAAAACCCAGAGCTCATGACAATGCCTCCCATGAGTCCAACTGGAGGTCCAGAGCCCACAAAAAGGACTCACGCCAGCCTCTTTTATGGATCTGTGCTGGGAAGACCCAAAGGTCAGTGGAGGAAGCCAGAAAGTCCATGCCAGTGGGGTGAAGGAGCTGTGCTGGTGGGATGAGGGTTCTACACTGGAGCCGAGAAGTCACACTCACAACAAAGACCAGGGCTGTCCTGAAAGGCACCACAGCCATCCTCCGCGACGCGGAGGCCCCAAGGTCTCCGATGACGAGCAC